ATAAAATGGGTGAAAAACAAAAACCATTCAAGAAGGCTCCTGAGAGGTATGCTCAACAAGAAAGAAGCCATTCTAAGGAGCCACATTACTTGTATCAAAACTGGATGTTTAGCCCAGCCGGCGTGGCTCATCAGTTGAACATTGACCTAGCATCCAGGAGATCGAGGTTCGACTCCCCATCGGGGCACATGCCCAGGTTGTGGGCTCGATCCTCAGTGGAGGGTGTGCAGGAGGCAGCCGATCCATGACTCTCATCACTGATGTTTCTATCTCTCTCTCCCTCTCCCTTCCTCTCTCTGAAATTAATAAAATATGTATATAAAACAAACAAACAAACAAACAAACAAACAAAAAAACCCTGGATGTTTACTTTGAAGCCCTGTGCTGGTATCCAAGAACAAGATCCTATTAATTTTCATTTCCCACTTTTTAACCCTATTCTGTAAGGTTTATATTTTTGATATTTCATTTTTTTTACTCCTAAGAAGACTTAGTATAAATGAAGACACTTAAGGGTAAAAAAGACTACAATCCACTTGAATAAAACAAAAACAGTTATTCTGAGGCATCAAAAGTAAAAGAGAAAAAAAAAAGATAACACCTGGATAGATATTCAGCTCTGAGTTTTCTGGCAACTAGGAAAAAAGGAAATACATTAAATTACATAGTTTTCATTTTGTGACAAAATAGAAAAGATATAACTTCATCTACACAGGCAAAAATTTTCCTGGAACTAGAACAAACAGTTTATCATGATATTTCTGTCTAAATGGGACCAAGAAGAAAGATCACAAGCTTTTGTTTCAGGTTAAAAAAAAAAAGTATTTCTTCAGGTTTTGACAGTAAGTATGTAATCATGGTTGTCACTTAACTCTTACCAGCATCAGTTTCGTCTGTAAAAGTGGAGACGATATTTATCTCAGTGGACTGCAGTAAAGACTAAATTATGTAATATAAATAGAAGTATTTAGTAGGCTGCCTTAAATAGTTTCACAAAACAAAAAGAGATGACACTAGATCTTGTTTTGATCTTTTAAAGGCAGAGGGCATGACGCTACATTGTACCTTCGTGGAAGGAATCTGGTCAGGAGAGAGGTTTTTGCCTTCTCCTCACTCTGCTTTGTGAAGTTTTCACTGAGTACAAGGACAATTTAAAATGGGGAGATATAAACAGGTAGGAAATCTCAATTCAATATAAACAGGTAGGAAATCTCAATTCAATTCATGATCACATCTCTTAGAATTTGTTGTGCGGATCCTTTAACCTAATATATTTACCCATCACAGTTGAGCTTGTAGTCTTAAGGAACAACCTAAAAAAGTGCTATTTTTCTCCATTTTCTTCACATTTTAATATACTTGATTACTAACACATTTTCTCTAAGGAAAACTGAGAATAAAAATCACCTAATATACTACTCACAATTCCAAGTACCCACAACCATTTTTTTGAATGAATAAATGTTAAGAATCTATAGAATAGGAAGCCAATAATAATTTTACCATTCTTAGAAACCTTTAGATCACAAGTGAACTCCTAACATGAGATGAATTATTTTTAAACTGATAGTTTTGAGCTAACACTAATAAAGAAAATAAAAATCTCCTGTGGCCATGCCCCTAATGTCCTAAAATTGTCAACCTAGAATCCCACTAGTTTTCTTTTTTTCATTTAATACATACTTGGTAACTATGGAAATGAGTTGGTGATCTCATTACATATTACATGACCATATACAGTCATATCAGAACTAAATGACACTGCTTTAAAAGTTAGAGCTGTCCAATGCAAAAACAGAAAATAACTCTAAAACGTTCATTTGGAACAAAATAGATCCAGAGACACAGAAGCATGAAACAGACTGGGGGATCTCAGAGGGAAGGCAGGGGTGGGGGAGTGGGTGGGGAGAGATTAACCTAAGAACTTATATGCAAAAATGCATAACGCAAGCACACAGACAACAGTGTGGCCAAGGCCTGGGGGTGGGTCTGATGCAAGGTGGAGGGGATTAATGGAGGGGGGACATCGGTAATACTTTCAACAATAAAGATAAAAAAATAAAATAAAATGTCTCTTTATGAATCGCTTATTTAATTTAAACAGAGAAAATTCAGCTGATTAAAACAATGACTCATTAGATAATTTCCCCAGGATCTTGACCAGGGCAAGGCAAGCTGTCAGGTGCTGACCCTGTATCGTGCACACCTCTGAGAGTGGACACCTCCTCTACCTTGGACCCTATTTGCCCTGCTTGCCTCACTTTAGTCTCAGCCCTGGTTGTCACTTTCAAAAAATTATATTTATCATAGTTATTCTTATCCAACTGTACCTACTGGCTACTCTGAGCACTTGACCCTCAAAAGCTATGAAATGAATAAATGAATCCTGCAGGCTCTGTATCAAGTGAATGGTCAAGTGACGGGTCAAGCACCTCCCTGGGTCAATGGCTGTCTGTTTCCATAAAAGCAGTCTGCACTTGCTTTAGCATCTGCACACACTATGCAAGCTGGTATTAAACTGTTTCTTAGAAAGAGACTGAAAACTTGTTTCGGACTTGTGTTTTTAAAACTTTTACTTTGCTTTATAAAGGAAAAAAAGCTACTTTTTAAAAAAAGATGTTTGGCATTAAGAAAAATCATAAAGTTGGATTATTAAAATACAATTGCCAAAATGAAGATATTATCAAGTACATGAATATTAACTGACAATTATTTAATTAGATACGTATCCATGTGAATTGCACTGACTCCATACCACAGTGGCAATTTATATGAGTAGTTTCATCTTGCTAGCATTTAATTTTCTTGTTTAAACATTTTGTTATAAACCTATTCAATTTTCAACCCACTGAGTAAAACTTTTAGTTTTTGTTTAGATTCATGAATAATGTGATTCTAAGTGTGATGTACAGAATTTATAAACTATAGTTGCTCATATATTCTTCAGAGTCTAGCCTAATTCTCTAAAAAGCACATGCAAATTGCCATTCTGAACAACATACTTATTATGCAGCTTTATGGAAAAAAAAAAAGTTGGTGTGACTAAATGGAAACCTGTAGTTAGTCTCTCTTAAATATTCATTTTAAACACATTTGTGAAAATCTACATAGTGAATGAATCATGTTTCCATAGTGAAGAAACAATTATTTGAAGGCAGAATCCTAGGACATAAATGACAGTAGATAAGGCCTGGAATGTTTGAGTCAGAAAAAAGTATAAATATCTTCAAGAGAAGCTTTTCCTAGTCTGTAACCTATAATTAGACCTACTTATCTACCTAAAAGTCATCTCTAAAATCTAGTCCAGGGACACCTTCTTATCCCTTTCACCCATCATATAAAATACATCTTTAAGAAAACTCACTCCAAAACCATTTCTAAGATAGAGACAATCCCCCAATTTCCTGCCACAATTTCTAGAATATGCACCTTTGACGTGTTTCCAGTAATATTCCCAAGTTCATCTCTCTCAAGAATTTCTTCTCAAATATCTGGTATATCTTTCCCAGAATGGAAAAATGTCTTCAGGATACTCATAAACCAATGATATGTTTTGAGCATTTCTTTCTCTATTAGGATAACAAAATGGTAAAGACATGGCTAAGACAAGGCAGTGATAGTTCAGTGGAAAAAACGCATTGGATTAAAAAACTAGGTTTTACAATACCAACTGCTGGTGAGGATCCTGAGCAACTGGAGCTCTCACTCACTGCTGGTGGGAATGCAAAAGGTACAGTCACTTTGGAAAGTAGTTTGGCGGTTCTTTATGAAGTCAAACATACACTTTCCATAAGACCAAGTAATCCTGCTCCTGGGTATTTACCAAGAGAAATGAAAACTTATTTTTACACACACACACACACACACACATTGTTTACAGCAGCTATATTTACAGATGCCCTCAAATGTCCATCAACTGGCGAATGATTAAAAAACTTTGGTACAGCCCTGGCCGGTGTTGCTCAGTGGTTAGAATGTTGGCCCTTGCACTGAAGGCTCATGGGTTTGATTCCTGGGCAAGGGCAAGTACCTGGGTTGCAGGTTCAATCCCTGGTCCCCCATTCAGGGTGTGTGCGGGATGCAACCCATCAATGTGTGTCTTTCACATCGATAGCTCTCTCCCCGTCCCTCCCTTCCACTCTCTCTAAAGTCAATGGAAAAAAAAATTCTCGGGTGGGGATTAACAAACAAAAAACAAAACAACACACAACAACTTTGCTACATCCACACAATGGAATATTACTCGGTAAGAAAAAGGAACAAATGACTTAAACAGATCATGGGACTTCATTTGGGGAAAAGGGTCACTACAAAGGGGGCACAAGGGAGCTTTCTGGGGTGATGGGACTATTTTATGTACCAATTGTGGTGATGGTTACACAGCTGTGTGAGTTAGTAAAAAAAATCATATAAATGTATGGTAAGAATAAATTTTACTGTATGTGTATTATACTTCAATAAGTCTGACTTAAAAAACTGTGGTTATCTCTTAAGTTACTAACTTGTCTTTGGGCAAGCCACCTAAAACTCATTTCTCCTTTTATAAAATGGGCATTATATTAACTCTAAAAGATTTTTGGTGAGGAACACATGAAAAAACAACTTTATAAACTTTAAAGTGCAACACAAATATTGTGCACTAGGCACTGGGTATAAAATGATGAACAGAACAGAAATACAATAAAAAAATTTATAGTTTAGTCAGAGAAAGAGAAAAAGAATAATTAAGTAATATGGGAATTTAATGACAGATATGAATAAGGCAAATAAGGGGTTAAGAAGGGGCATTCCAGGAATAAAAATTAACACATAAAAAATAAAGTATAAATTAAATCATGAATAAAGTACCACAAGTTGAATATAAAGGGCCAGGTCACAGTGAGATGCAAGTGTGAAAAGTCATTAACGAACATGGAAAACTGGGATCCAATCATCTTAACCCAACATGGACTTTAAAAAACCCTGCAGTGGCAAAGATGATAACAAAATGGAAAAAGTACCTCGCGATGACTTAGAAGTTGTTCTAAATCTAATGCCATTTGATTCTTCGTCTGTAGTAAAGCTGACTTCTCTTTATTTAAGTTGCTGAAAAAAAACACACACCAAGTTTTAAAGTCATATTCTTGGTTTACATTTAATTAACAAATAGTAAATAGCAAAAGACTAAAGAAAAATCTAATGTTTTGAATTAAAAAAGTGTATTTATTTTTTTATTTATTGATTTTTTCCTTTTTATTGAATTTGTTGGGGTGACACTGCTTAACAAAATTATACAGGTTTCAGGTGCACAATTCCACAACACATCCTCTGTACCCCGTATTCTGCATTCACCACCCCAAGTCTCCTTCCATCACCATTTATCCCCCCATAC